CCGTTCATTGACGGTGGGCTTCAGTCCTCCATACAATTCGCTCGATAAGACCTCGTAACCTATGCTTAGAATGCTGATCCCGCGGTAGTTGGCGCGAATGGTAGGGTCGCCTTTCTTGTGGATTGGGCAGAGCACAGTTAAATTCCAGTCGTCGGACATGCAATCATCTGACCATATTCTGCACAAGAGTTGATGCATACACCTTATGAACTCCTCGCCGCTGTACTTGAATAGCTCAGCTGACAGGCTGTCAGCTCCAGCAGCTTTGTTATTTTTCAACCGCGTTATCGCTATTTATACCTCGTCATAGTCAGGCGGTGGAACGTCGACTCCGTCATCATCGACTGGGGGCTCGGGTTCTTCTTCTCCACAACTTTCCGTGCTGCTTCCATTCAGTAGGGTGGAAAAGTGTTCCCTCAATAATTTATGCACGCTATGAATATCGGTTACGAGGTCGCCGTGGTCTTTAAACCTTCCGTAAGTCACCTAACTCTCTTGTAAAATTTTCGGGCATTCTTCCTGTCGGCCAGCATTTCAAGCTCTTCGCACTCACGTATTTCGGCCTTTTTCTTATTGCGACAAATACGTCTCGCTTCCCTCTTCAGATCCCTGTAGCGGTCCCAAATAGCGCGCGTGGCGCCCGATCGCAGCGTGGCCCTGTAGGCGGCATCTTTTTTCTCTGCATCTTCCTGACACTCTTCATCGTGCCAGTTGTTATTTCGGGCTTGCTTAAATCCTACTACTTCTTCGGCGGCGGTACTTAATGAGCGGGAGATGTGGTTCCACTGCTCGCAAGTGTCGGTTTGTTGAAGAGTGCTCTCTGACAGCTTAAGCTTTCAGTGCATACTTGGACGCACATTTTTTGTTGCACATAGGCGGGTGCGTATCTTGCCTACAACAAGCCAGTGGTCCGAGTCGATGTTTGGGCCTCGGAGTGTGCGTACGTCTCAAACACAGGAAGCGCCCCTTCCGTTTATCACAACATGATCGAATTGGTTTCTTGTTTTTCGATCCGGAGACGTGGCTTGATGTATCTTTTTATGATTGAACCTAATACTACGAAGGCGAAGTCGATCAGCCTCAATCCATTGTTGGACTTTTCGTCGTGGAGGCTGAATTTTCCGACGGTAGTTCCAAGGATCCCTTTTTTTCCCCAGCCTGGCATTGAAGCCGCTAAGCACGATTTTGATATCATGGCGGGGGCAGCGCTCGTACGTGCGCTCCAAACGCTCATAGAAGAGATCCTTGGATGCCTAATCTTTCTCTTTCTTCGGCGCAGATGAGCGAGGCTTTACCATGCTTCTGTACTGGAAGTGGTTTTTGCGTGGCGAGTCCCAAACCCAGCGCACGGCCCATTGCTTGGATGGGCGTGGTTTCGCAACCAAATACACGTTTATATAGCGAGCCGTTTGCTCCAAGCAGACACTCGCTTGCAGCTGCACCTACTAGTGAACAGACACTGCAGACTTCAGTGAGCCCTTAAACCGAATAAGTCGGAGTGGCCCCACCGAAGTTCCCTCTCTTTCTGCCGTGACCCAAGGCTCCACTCGGATTGGTTACCGCATCTTGCACATGGGTTGCTCACGTTGCTACTGAATAATACAATGCTCTTAATACTTACTACTACGAAGTCTGTTAGCCTCCATCACGTCAGGTTCGAGGTTATTTTAAGGTCAAATAGGGAAAAATCCATTGAATAAACCTGAAATATCAATACGATTCTTCTTAATTTGGCCTTGGTATGACCTTGACATGACCTATAGATGACCTTGAAGAATCAAGGCACTTCCATGTCCGGATTCAGCGACAACAAACACAAAAAAAAAATATTGAATAAAATGTTTGTCCTATTTGACCCTCTAATGACCTCGAACCTGACATTATGGAGGTTAACGGACCTCGGATTTGAATTTCCAGGTTTGTTCAATGAATTTTGCCCTACTTGACCTTCAAATGACCTCGAACCTGACGTGATGGGGACTAAAGCTGCCTTCACATGAGGTGATTTTTTGACAGGCGATAATCGCCTGCAAAAGTTGACTTGCTGTCTACTTTGAGGCAAGCGATTTTTGACTCACCATTCACACCAGCAATTTTTGGAGCAATGTTGAATCGCCTCATGTAAACGCAGCTTAACAGACGTCGGATTCGCATTCAGCGCATCGAATAACATAGGGATACAGAGGTTTGGTTCAATATGCTAAAGCTTTTTTTTGTAAACCTGTTTTATTGTTGTCTAGTGTATTTTATTGTTGTAAACTGAATAAAATATATAACCTCATTAAATTATAAAGCGTGTCAGTAAAAAAGGGTATACACGTGCCAAGAATATTTGGATCGCGATCCAAAATGAGAAATTGTAGCACTGACAAATTTAGTTCAATCAGAAGACCGAACTAGGAAAATAGTTCTTTAGTTCAATTAGTTCAACAACTACCCAGCCTATTACTTACATATTTGAGCATACAAATGATTGAATTGTATGCCTCAAACACGGACACACACATACATGCGTACATATCTCCAAAAAAGTACAAACATTTATTTATACGAGTACTTACCGCCAAACAAAATATTGAATTATCGCAGCAAAAACTTTTCATTTTTTGGAAGCACTTATTTTTGTAGCAATAAATACAAGTCGCCTCAAGAGAATTTTTGCCAAATTGGGGAACCACTTTTCGAGAGTAACCGCTTAACTCTTCGTTTACAGAACGCATTATTTTAACATGTGCATGTCATTGGAGCTAATCGAATAAATGTAAGATTTCTTACCTGGATAAGCGAAAATTGTCTTGAAGCAACTTGTATTGCGTTACTCCATTGATAAAAAAATAAGAACTTCCCAAAAAGTTTAAAGATTATGCTGGGATCTTTCTTGGTGAACGTTCAACTTTCTGTGAAATTAGATCCAACAGAGCGCCACTAATGAAGCGCAAACATTTTAAAAATTTGCTGATGCAATTCCCGCCAATACGAAATAAGACTCTTGCATGCCCTCACATGGCACATCAATCCATTACCTCTGAGGGTGCAACGTTTTTCTTTTCTCAAAGAGAATTTATACAAGAGAGAAACGTTTATAAGAGAATCTAATTTGGCAGAGTGGCCAATGCTGAAGGAAATTTTAATGCATGCAAAATTTAAAAGACTGCCTCTCATCTATACCCTAATTACCCCGGCAAACACAAAAAAAAAAGTTGACCTGTGCATATAATGCACATGTAAGCTCCTTAAGCTACTTTAAGCTCAAACTCAATTTTTGCACTGATGAAGTGAGCTAAAGAATTTGTACTAAAAATCTAGTCGGAGCTTAAGCTCACTTTTTATGCATAAGGCCCAGTGGATCGAAATACATGTGGATAGGTGGGTCTGGTTAAAAGCACACACCACTCTTTTTGGTATGCCGATGTTACCAGTATTAAATTTATTTTATACAAACAGTTTACCTACCCGGTCAAAATTGTTAAAGTGTACTTTCTCCATTGAAAAAAATGTTTGTATGTATATGTACAGAAAGTCACAGCTTCACTTGAAGCTCTACACAATTTGTCAGTATACCAAGGAACGGAGCGATTATTATTATTATTATTATTATGCGTGCCATATTTGAAATAGATCCAGAAGCAAGGAACTACGAATTCAGCTTCTATTTTTCTTTTTATAAACATACCTCCGGTAAAATTTGTTCAGTGAAAAGTAGATGCTTCCCTGGTCGAGATCAGTTATCGACGGAAAAGTTCTGTTTGCATTAACCCAACTATTGTTGTATAAAAGCTTCAGCGCAAATACATACCATGCACATAATTTAGAATGCAGGTATTGATGTTTTCTTTCTTTCATTATTGAAAAAATAGGAATTGCTTAAGAAATAAACTAAATGCGTTTGTTAATTTTCCACAAGTACTTGGAAATTTCATCAAATTATAACTTTTATTCTAACGAAATTTCCGCCAATTTGTCGTAAGGTTACTACTTTTGACCGCAGCTTATATGGGGACGTCCCACTGTGCACCGTCAGCAAAATTAAACGGAAGTTTTGAGCAACTTCAGCCTTGCAGGAAAATTTAATGGGATGTAAATAAAACTGCACACAACAATTCTACTGAAACTTTGTTGAATTTTTTTTTACCTTTACAAAATTTTTATCCAAAACTTGTCAATATATTGTAAAATTTTTATTATTTTGAAAAGCGCTACATTAAAAACTGCGCCGAATTTTTGAAAAAAAAAGAAAACAAATTAAACCTAACGGCATTCTCTAATTATAATTACAAGCATTCAAAAGATGGCTACGTTTCAGTCAGATTTGTTACATTTTTTGCCACAAAAAAAAATTAGTGAGTGGCAACACTGCTCTTAACTCACAACGACCCGCAACCGGTGAGCAGGCGAAGAGAATATATATTTATGTATATCCATTTGATTGATAGCGACTGCGCATTATGTTTGTGATGTATACAGTGAGTGCCAATGAAAATCATACAGTAATTTTTTCCATTTCTTGAAAATATTTTGTTTATTTAAATTTTATTGATTTTTAATATAAATATATTTCATACTTCAACAAAAGCCATAGAACTCAAAGTTTCTAACTTTGTAGGAATTAAAAAAATCATAAAGTTTTTATCAAAATTTGTATGCAGAATTTTTAGCATTTTTTTCTTTTGTACTTAGTTGTATAGCTCATTCAATAAAGTGCAAGTTTGAAGTCGCTACAAAATGCCGTTGATTTTTTGGCAATTGTTTTGTCGGCAGTGTTTCACGTTTTTTTTTCATATTACAAATGATCGTATGTTATGATAGTAATTATTATTATAATATATAATAAAATTTAAATAAAACCAAAAATTTTCCAACACAGAAAACAAATTACTGTACGATTGTCACTGACGCTGACTGTACGTACATACATATACATAAGACCACCTTTGCCATACACTGAACATACGAGTACCAACATTTCATAGCCACCTCATGGATTCGTTATTCATTTGTCAGCCGTCTAACTGTAGAAACGCAGCATGAGAAGAACGCGCCATTCAATGCCGGTCGTCGCGTGTTTTTTGAACAATTCGTTACTTAATCAATAAAATCATAGCACAGTTTATAGTCCCATGCCTTAGAAAAATTGTGAATTAAAAAAGCAAAATACAGAAATTTAACCAAAACGGAAAAGTTTAATTAAAGTGAAACATATTTACTAATATATTGAAGACAACACACAGTCATGGAGGAGCTTTTGGAAAGTTGCGGGTAAGTTTAGAAAAATCGCGACTCTTTGTTACCTGGCGACAAAGGGCACGGAAAGGGCTTAGATATATATCACATTGCCAACGTTGCAGTTAAAGGAAATATACATACATACATACCTATATCTTAACATTTGTTTCGCAAATACCCAATAGCAGATGCTCACATTCATGCATGCATATTTGTTGTATATACATACATACATACATAACCCACAAGTATTCGCAGAAATGTGCACCGAACGACTGCAAAATGCCGCGATAGTAGCTATTTTTACACACGCATCAAATTCAATTTAGTCTTTATGACGTATTCCCCAACAAAAACAACAACAGCAAACTAATTAGTATTCCCTGTCCAATACAGCTGATCGCTGTGCCATGTGGGCAGCATGCGTAGTATTAATTAATTTTGTTTGAATTAACTTAACCCATAAGCTAGTGAAGAGCGCAGAGTTAATGGCAGATGGTAGAAAAGTGAGTGGAAAGAGAACGTATGAGAAATAGAGGTAGAGAGCGGTAATAGCTTGTTGGCAGTTTTTTTTTTACCTTGCAGAGTTGCCGAGTCTTATTCAGGAGCAAATCGGTTTGAGTATTTTCACATAGAAGAAAATGGTGAAAACAGTTTGCGGAACACAAGTCTTATTTAACCCTTAACTGTGGAGATATGAGCCCTAGAACATTTTCTTCATATGTAACTGCTATGCAAAAAATACTTTTTAAAGCAAATAAAAAATATAATATTAAAAGGGGTAATATTTATCTAGGTACGGTTATGAAAACCTAAACAAGGTCGCGAGATTTTAATATTTTTTGTTTACTTAATGTTTATTATTATTTTTTTACATGTATGTATAGCCCGTCCTCTATTAAAAATCATGTAATTCCGAATTTTAAACTTATACAAAAATTAGGAAAATTTCCATAAAATTACAGCAAAGCTTTAAACTTTTCAATCTGAATTTCTAAAAAAAAATGTGTGTACAGCTTTATAGCCTGTTAAATTTTAGTACCATAAAGTGCAAATTTGAAGTAGTTAGGACCTACCGCTGATTTTTGGCAATCTTTTAACGAAAAACCGATTCGATAATTGTTTGTATTTAGAGAAAATGAGCACCACACCTTCAATAAAAATATGCCAAAAAACAAGGGTAAATCCTAACTACTGCGAATTCGCATTTTATTTTACTATCGGTTTCACCAGCAATTTTTGGAAAAAACATTTTTCACTTGAATTGCTTTCATGAAACTGGCTATTAGAAATCTAATTGAAAATATCAAAATTTGGAGCAAAATTTGTCGAATTTATAAAGCTAAAATTTCAGACTCCATAGCTTAGCAGCGTAATATATACGACACAAAAAATAGGCTCGTCCAAGTTATGATTGCTTGCCTGACAGGGCGGAGTTAGTACAAAATTCGGAGAGTTCATCGAGTTCACACGGCGTTCAAGATAGGATAGACTATTTGAGATGAAGTATCCCGGCACTATCGTTATATTTCGCATGCTTTAAGATACAAATTGAAAGCCATAACTTTTACGGTCTCTAATATTTACGTACTATATATAGGCATTTATTTCAATTTAGTAAAGTAATCATGAATAAATGTGCGCAAATATTTGTTTTCATAGAACATACATACGTATACATACATATATCTTATAAATTTTTTCAATTATGTATGTACAATTTACGTATGTACATATATTACTTTAACAAATTACAAACAAAACGTTGTTTATCATTTACGCTCTATCTTCAGTTACAGATAATATTATATGTATGTAGGTACATACATACATTCACATACATATATACATGTTTAAATGTATATTATTTGCCAAATAAGTTAATGGACTGAACTCGCTTATCAATTTCTGTAATTGAATTTTCTGTGATTACTTATATGTATGCACATACAAATTTTGCAAATACATACCTATGTATGTACATTAGACCGTATCCCAAATAAATGTAGAATTTGTTCCAAGTAATTTCGGATACACACTATGAGAGTATTTCAGTAGTGTAACACTTTTTTCGCACCCTGTAAAATACCTAAATGGCTCTTTTAAAACTTCCTTATTTGATATTATTTTGTTTAATGAAAATGGGTTAATATTTTTCCTGGAGACTATATATCTGACACACAGTGTTCATACACCTGAAATACCGTCATTGAGAGTAGAGAAGAAATTGAACTTTTTTTGTTACGGTCTAACGTATTTAGATAAATAGTAGGGGTCTTCAGACCGAGTTTGGTACTCGGTAACACAATGTTCTGTTTTTCCGCATTATTTTTCTTTTGTAAACTTATTTTACTATCGGGTTTCCAACTACCAAAATATCGTGATGGTAAGCTTAATAACCGCAGGTCCCTCACCCGTTACATAGTTTCTGATTTCTCGCCTTTTTTGCATTTTTTGACATTTTTACCTTCAACAAGAATTTCTTTCTATAGGGAAATCAGCTGTTGATAAACATACTTTACCAGACTATCAAAAGTAGGCTCAAAAGGACGTTCACAGTTGATAAAATTACCTAGCACAAACTAGCAGTTTACCAAAACTACCGAAACGGATGTAAAGAAGCCTAATATTGTAAATAAAATTGCAGTAGGAATATGAGTGCATACAGTGCCTTCACCCGCTTTGCTGAGCGTATGAATTTATGCGTGTGCGGTTAAGTGTAATTTATCTGAATAAAACTAAACATTTTTAAACTTAAAAAAAAACATAGGTTAAGTATTCTTACATTTAAAAATTTTTATATTTTCAAACTAAAGCCTCTTAAAAATCTTGCGCCAATTGTGATACATATTTCAATTACACATTCCCCTAATTCAAGTTGAATTTGGCCTGGTAACTAGAAATGAGGTCTATTGAAAACCGTTTACATTGAAACCCATATTGTAATAGCTTATTTAATTAATTACATAAGTAACTTGAAAATTACTTTTCAAACAGCTTTAAATACTCCAAAAATATTATCAGAGTTCTAACTAAAATTTTTTTAACACTTTTTCGTTTGACACGCATTTTTTGAAATATCATATAACTTGTGTATAATTTAATTAAATTAGACTTTTCAAAGACGTTTCGAATTGTTTTCAAACTACAACCTTCTTAAACCTTTTTCGTCTGACACCTATGTATGTATATTGTGATCAGTGTTTAAAAAACTGCAATAAGTTTTATACCATTTTCTTTTGCTTCTGGAAAAGAAAGCAGTTTCAGTCAAAGCAAACGCAGAAAGTGATTACTAATAAAATGCGCATCAGCTTCGGCAGCCGCAGGTGGAACTCACTGCCACACACTTTGCAGGATTTGCGTAGCGCAATGAGGTTCAAGGCTAGCCTATTCAAGCACTTCCAAACATAATGCAGATTGGCTTTAAATTATAAATTATTTGTTTAAACTATAATTGTATTAATTTAAGCTCCTTTTAACAAAATGTATCAATTTAAATTTATATATTTACTCTCTATAACTACTCTACGCTTTTCCTCATTTTTTAGCAATTATTATCAATTTGTTTTCAAATTTTAATTTCATAATCTATAATATTACGCGATTAATATTATTGTTTAGTTTTAAGTTTTGTTTTATTTAATTCGTTCTTGCTTAATTTCATCTTAACCCTGCAGGAGTGCTATTTTCAGGGATTGAAGTCAGAAGCCCAAGCCTTAATTTAAGCCTAAGTGGAAGGTTCTAACACCTTTTGCTTAATTTCGGTAGGTGCTCAAATTTCCCAAAATCAGTTTTTCCTGTTCAACAAATGACTATAAGTGACCATCAAGCAAAGGTACAGGGATAGTAGTCGAGATTTTTTGCTTTAATCTAAGCCTAAGTGGGAGGTTCTACCACCTTTTGTTTCTTTGCTAGAGCTTCTCAAATATTGCAAAAACGCAATTTTTTGACACTTAGACCTCGTTTTTCTTAAAATCTGGAGCTGATGGAAACGTTATGTTTACGTCAAAAATAGCGTTAACATTTGCTGCATCAAATTTTTTCCCATTTTTGTTGGCCTTTGTAATAAGTAGTGTTAAATAGCCAATACCCGCATGTTTGCGCCGCCTTCAAACACCTTTCGAACTGTAAAACAATGACTCGATTCTATTCTACGCATATCTATAATACGGGTATTGAATTTCAAGCAAATTGGACCATAAATAAAATTTTTTGGAATAGATCGGTCCCTGATCCACCTGTTAGAAAAAAGTATCCTATATGTTAATCCTGGCAATACATGTCAAATTTCAAGCAAGTCGCACCATAAATAAGATTGAGATTTATGCTATATGCTAATCTAGGCCAAAAGACTACCTACGTATGAAACTCTTTTTTTTAGCGTAGCTGGACCCCTGCGCCACCTATCGGAAAAATTAAAACTCGGTTATGAAACAAGTTGCCAATTGATTCATGCTCACAATAAATTTCACAATTATCCAAAATTTTACAAGCTTTCCGGCGAATTTTCCACCTTTACATTATCCAAAACTATCAAATCATGCGATAAATTGTAAAATTTCGTCGAAAAATTATTCAAACTTTTCGCGTTCTTCCGAATTTTTTCATTATATTTCATTTATTTTATCAATTTAACACTATACAATTTTTCAAACAGGTGGCAACCCTCCCTAAAAATATTTTTGGCAGTAAAATTTCCTAAACATCTTCAGTTTGATACCCATATTGCAATATTCAATTTATCTTATAAATTAAATTAAATTAAAATTTTCAAACAGGTGGCAACTCTAAAAAATATTTTTGGATATAAGCCTTCTTAAGCCTCTTTCTTTTAACGCCCATATTGCAATATACACTTTTTCTTATCAATTTACTTCAACTGCAAGTTTCAAACAGGTGGCAACTCTCTAATTTTTTTCCTTCTATATTTTAAGTTAGACATCTAGCAATACATCGGTGGAAACTGCATTCAAATCTATGCATTCGTTTTCGAGTGATGCGCGTGCTAACATACAGACAGACAGACAGACATTCTAAAAATGGTTGATTTGGCTTCTGTTGCTCTAATGAAGACCCCCCACATTCATTTTTTTTTATATCTATAATGTACAGACATCGACCTGTTGCAATTTTATTATATGTATAGAAGATTGCTGCAACTATATCAGTGCTCAATCTGGTCCTCAAGTCAGTCCTATGCATTTTTAAGCTACTAAATCTACATTCAACTGAAGCATTAGAAACGGGCTATAATAGTAATGCAGATATTTTTTTTTTTTATTTGGGAAACTTATATGAACCTGAAGAATCTTCTGATTCACAAACTTTCATATAAATTTCTGGATCTAATGAAGAATCAATATGAATATTCTTGTGATCAAACAAGGCGAAATCTCTCCGTTCGTTATCGAGATTTTGCAAATTCAAAAAAGTTAATAAATATAACGATGGAATGAAAAAAAAATATCGATAACATTTTGAATATTTAGCAGCAAATCATAAGCGACCACACAAGCAGTTTGATAAACCAAACGAAATATACCTTTGCTTAAAGCTATTTATATGTGTTGTGTATGGGGGTGTTTGAAGGTTTGACAAGCCGTTTGAGGGATATGTGAACAAAAAGTAAAATTTTTTTGATTTTCTGGCCGTTACGTTGACGTTTGATCAAACCGCTTACGTTGTGTATGGTAAAAGCGTCTGCTTCGCAACGGAATTTTCACCGAATGAGGAGGCAAGAGGCAAAAATCGAAGAAAAAGAAACTGTTTTACATTGTGAACCGGAAGAAACCGGAAATTCTTTGCTTGAACGAGTCAAGTTTGCATGGTGTATGGCGAAATGGGAAAAGTAGGTTTGAAGAATGCTTGGCAAGCCGCTTGTGTGGTGTATTTCGCTCTTTATAAAACTTCGGAAAGCTTTTTGTTAAAAAAATTGCAGAGCGTACTCCGTTGTGTAAAACATGCATGCATTTGTTATTTGCAAATATATAGAGAAAATTCCTCAAAATAAAAATCCTCCAAAAAATACTCAAGCGCACCCAAAATTCCTCACGTTTTGAGGAATTACTCACAAAGAGATCATACTGGTCAGCTGTCAGCGTCATGTTATTGCTTACGGGAGTAAACTCTTGCCCTTTCATTTGCCAAGATACCAATGGAAGCTGTACCTGTGTTTACAGTGGGCCCATGGCGATTTAGGTCAACTCCATGGAGTACATACACCAAAATTAACCGAAATGAATATAGAAAATGTAGTCCAATTAACACAGCAAATGTCCTAGGGGAGGACCATATACTACTCTGCATATCATCAGAGTATCACAAAACTATCCCAAGGGATTAACTCCATGGAGGGCCTACATCTCGGCAACACAACCCAATAAACATCGAATAGGGATTACGATCCCAAAAAACACCAGCTATGATGGACAATAATAAGCTGGTTTAGAGGCGTTACAGATAAGTATTTTGTAAGTACTCTAATATGGCACAAATAGATCGCATTGTACAACGATTTTTGCATGGAATGCATGCAATAGAAAAAACTTGAACACAGTAAAAATTGATCAGCATCCCTCCAACTATTTCCAGTCAGTAAAAACAATCAGAATCCTAAAATTTTCCACCCCTTTGGCGAATTGCTTTACCCTAATTTTGTTTATATATTTCTCTACTAATTACTAGCATACAACTAAAAGCTTTCATACATAAGCTTTCGATACGATTGCAGCTTTAAAATTTTACGCGCCAACATTTTAAGTTTTAAGCATTTTACAAGCGCGTGCTACACACTACATACATACATATGTACCACGAACGGCAGCTGCGAACAGATCGCGGTCAATTCTTCAAAGACGCTCAAAAGTGAAGCTTTCATACCCGCACTCGAATTTTCATTCATTGACATTCATCAAAAAAAAAAGTAAGAAAAATTGTTGCTTCGGGATTTGAAGAATGCGCGCGCCGATTGTTCGTACTATTTAAGTAACGCTCAAAGCTGAAGTGCAAACAGTAGCGGTTTATACTTGGCGTAGTGTTGAGGTGTGTAGGTGGTGCAAAAAAAAAAGGAAAAAGCAAGATAAAAGCGAAAAAAAACTAGTGGAGAAGAATAAGTTTTCTTTTTCGTTTAGCGGCCAAAAGGTAGGCAGTGGCGCTTAATGTGATATAGAACAGTGTTTTGAATGTGAAATTTTCTTAAAGAAACAATAGTTTTAGAAACAATTATAACAAATATGAGCTGATCTAGTGCCGAAACATGGCGCAAAAAAAACTTTTTATTACAAGAAATCATTAACTATTTTAAAATGGAACTTGCACAATCATTTACTTTAACTTTATGGGCCTAATGCTTTCTGTCGACTAATAGAAGCCGCATCAGAACTATCTTTAAAAACTATTTCAAAGCGGCACTACGGAACTGTCTGTGACTCAAAGCCCAAAACTATGAATTTTGTAAATCATAATCGCAAATGAAATTTACTGGGATTGAATATGTAAATATTGTCTACACATATGTATACATATATGTTGATATATGTATATACATAAGTACGTAAAAAGTCAAAAATTATTAATCTTTACGGAAGTAGCGGCCCTGAGTACTTCTTCGAAGGTCATTAGTGCAAAAAAAGAGTTGCATTTTTTCCGCAGCTATGCCGACAGCTTGTAAGTAGCTTACTTTTCCACATTTCGTTGTCATAGTATTGAAAGCTGTAGTTTTGGTTTTTGATTACTATAATTCACCAATTCAGCGAAGTTGTACATACAATCAATCTTTCTCCACAGTTTTTTTAGCTACCCAAATTGACTCATTTTATAGCACCTCGAATAACGTTTATGAAGATATAAATAAAATCGAAAAATAACGAATATAATTTCACTACGAAACTGGAACACACATACATACATTTGTGACGACGAAATTTTATAAATATCCATTTGAAATTAATAATCTCACCTTTCTACCGAAACTTTTATTAAAAGTGTTAATTGGAGAATGGCGCAAAGTTTATTGCTATTTGTGTTTTTTTTTAGAAATTCATTTAACGTCTTGTGATCATCATTCGTGCCCATTTTATAATTGCGGTTAAAAGATTGTTCGTTTTTGTAGAAATGTAAAAGCAATAGCCGCCTAAAAAGTATTAAGTGCATATATAAAAATGTTTGTATTAAATATCTTTTACATATAGTATGTACATTAGGGCTGGTCAATTTTTTTTTACTATGCGCGTATAGCATAGAAGGATTGTACGTGCAATTCTAAGTAAATTTGCCGAAGAAACCATGGGTCTAAAATCAATTTGGAGTTTGCCAAATTGCGTAAATAGGTTGCGAAGAAAATGTGAATTTTCACTGTTTCGCCTTCGGGGGGAAATTTTAAGAAAAAGATAAGTGCAGAAATGAATTCCTCATACCATAAAACTGCTTATATCATGTTTCTATACAAAACAACACTACAGCAAAATGCTAAGAAAGCTTTCATCGCAATTTGGCAAATTGAAAAATTTACCGCCCTAATGAACATACATATGTACATATCTCATCTCTTTCATTTTTTTTTTTTTTTTATCGATATATCTACATAGGCGAATCACAACATTTGCGCTAATAGCTCTTACATACGCATACATGCATATACATAACTAATATTCATATCTAGTATTTATCGTAATTTCATATACACTGCTCGCGAATGTCTCCAATTTCACACTTACCTCAGAACGTGCTAAAATGCTCATTTTCACCATCTGGATATGCACATATTATGAGAATACCAGCAATACATATTATAATTTTCATTTTTTAGAGAATAATGTGATTAAAAATATGTTAATGGTGTTTGGTATTTGGAAAAATAGTTAGCTATGTATGTCAACTACAGGGCTTTTCTCTATGAGTTGAAGTTGATTTCTGCTGCTAAAAGTGAAGTAAAAGCTATTCACTGTAACCATAAGAATTTAAAGCACAAACCACTTACAGAGAATTTACTATTTTTACAACTACTTACAATCCAAAATATTACATAATCCTCCACAGCTCTTATTTTTTAGCATTTGTATTTACATAATTTTTACACTTAAAAAACCAGCACCGCAAATCCGTGCCCTATCGCTTAAAAACGACACACTACGCGTACCTACCAGTAAATATAATATGTTTACACTTCAAAATATTTTACTTTGAATTCCTCACTTACAAATTATTTACTCAATACTAAGAAATTAAGTCATATTTATACTCACCCTTCTGCCTTTCTTCATCTTACCCCTGCAGAATGCCCTCACTTAGCATATCCGGTGCATATCATGTACTCACTCGTCGCAAACCCATGGAGGATACAACCGAATCAAAATTGGCCAAGGTCTTGTCTGCCTTTGATTTGACAGCGCTTGGCATTGGCTCAACATTGGGTGTCGGCGTTTATGTGCTGGCCGGTGAGGTCTCCAAGGTATATGCTGGTCCTGCTGTAGTCATAAGTTTCTTAATCGCAGCGATTGCTTCGATATTCGCCGGTCTCTGTTATGCTGAGTTCGGCGCACGCGTGCCAAAAGCCGGTTCAGCATACATTTACAGTTATGTGACCATTGGTGAATTTATGGCCTTCATTATTGGCTGGAATCTGATATTAGAATATGCAATTGGTGAGTATCGATATGGAAATGTATTTTTAATGCTTCTTGTAATATAGTATGTAGATATGAGCGAAAAACCCAAAATTGAACGGTCAAGATTTTTTCATATAGAAATAAGAAATAGAAATTATAGAAATATCACAGAAAATTTTTTTGCCACTCTAATGTACATTGAATTGGAATAGTAAAATAAATTATAATTATGACTATCATATATTATTAAAGTTGTAGCTGAAGATGCCCATTTTATATATTCATTTAAAAACTGTTTATTTGTATAACATTTCCATTTTGACAACCTAGTGAGTTACAATATTTGTCAGAAAACGTTGTGATCAACATTAAGCGGTTGATTATTAAAGATGAAACCAGCAATTCAATTACGTACTAATAATCGATAGAAGAAAAATGTGTTAGGTATGCCCTATCTACTACCAATTTTTGTATAGTTTGATAACCACAGTAATTGCCAATTGTTTATATATCTACTTCAAGATAACTAATCAATTCAAAATGATAAAATTCTGTGTAAAAATGGTGAAATTATAAAAAAATTGTGCTAATATAGCTAACTCGATTTAGAAAAAAGCTAATTGCTAGACATTTCTATAGCTAAATGCCGAAAAATAAATAGCTAAACTGGCAACACTGGTTGCAATTAAACATTATTTTTTGAAAATTAAAAGGATGTTGTCATGCATACCTTTCACATGCTTACATACATACATATATACGAGTACTTCGGTATACAAATAGTAATAGAGCACACTTTTGGAACTTGTTCCCTTAGTCATCCCTTAGTCCTCCCAATAGCTAAGTTTTTACACACAATTTCAATACTTTTCATAATTGAATTCCGATTTGCCAGTCGACTTTGTAGTACCCTTAATTGATTGCAATTTATGTCGCGTTTTTCAATTCAATTTTATGTCTGCACATATCTGAATACAAGCATACATACATATATGCGAACATTTTCCTGTATTTTAAACATCGATATACGCATTGACATCACACGTTCTGTAACCAAATCTACTCACTTCTATTTTTTTGTGCTTAATTGAAAATATTTATACAAACATACATGCATACATATGTACGTGCCTAATTATATCGACCATCCATCGCCAATTGTAGCCCGCACAATTGAGTAAGTTCAGGTTTCTTGGCGGTTTTCGCCAATGCGATCTGGCTAGCGTGCGTAAATGTGCAACGCAGAAGAATTCTATAGGCCCGTCCACATAGAACTTCGGCGTTGCGTTGGCGTTGGTGTCGCTTCAACAGCTGACTATGAATACATGAATTCAAATGCAGCCGTCCACATAGCCAAAATTCGACAACGCTCACGCTAACACAAAGCAAAAAGATGGCCAACTCTCAACTTTTCGCGTGCGTCGCTCGTCAGCTGTTGCGAATAAATAAAATTATGTGAAATATTTTTCCTTTTTAATCAAGTGCGGGCAAGAAATATCGTTTTAAATGCAATTATTGATATGAAATATTAATTTATCTGTCGTTAATATGTTAATTTAGTGGCCCAAGGATTCGCTGCCAAGCGTTCATTGTAGCAAGCATACTTTTAACGTGCGTTCTGTCAAACCAACGCCAACGCCAAAGCCAACGCGAAAGTTCTATGTGGACCGGCCTTATTCCTCTTGGTGTGACTTTTAGCGGCTCAACAAATTACAACAATTACAACTTGTGTTTATATACATTAGGGCGGGCGATTGTTTTTTACTGTGCTCGTATAGCATAGGAAGGTTCTATGCGTAATTAAATGCATATATTTGCCGAAGAAACTATGAGTCTAACACCAATTTGGAGTTTGCCAAATTGCGAAAATATGTTTCGCAGAAAATGTGAAAATGTTCGATATTGCGCGCTCTGGTGGGAGTTTTACGAAAAAGATAAATACAGAAATGGATTCCTCATACCAAAAAACCCCTTATATCATGTTTTAATACAAAATTTAGGCACTTCTTTACCACACTACAGCAAACTGCTAAGAAACCTATTTTAGCAATTTAGCAAACTTGCTTAGAATTACACGTAGAATCCTTATGTGCTATACGCTCACAGTCGAAAAAATCTCCCATACAAATTGACCCGCCCTAATGAACGTACATTTTATGCATATACAAACGAATTTCCTATAACCTATAACTATGTATATGTATCTTAGTTATTAGACTAATATTGCATCACATTTGATATAGGTGGCGCCAGTGTGGTTAAAGGTCTCAGCACCTATCTAGATAAACTTTTCAACTATGCAATGCGCGATTACTTAAGCAGAAATTTCGCCATGAACATCGAGGGTCTTGGCGACTATCCAGATTTCTTTGCGCTGATCGTGACAGTACTATTCGCTTTAGCCATAGCTGTAGGCGCCAAGGAGTCGACGCGCTTGAACAATGTCTTTACATTCCTCAATTTGAGTGTGGTGCTCTTTGTGATCATCGCTGGACTCTTCAAAGGTAAGCTATCATAAAGCGCTCCTCCAAATTCCTCCTAAATTAATTTTCTTTCTCTACTCTTCAATAGTTTCACTCAGCAATTGGTCTATACCCAAAGAAGAAGTACCCGAGGGCTACGGCAATGGCGGCTTCAGTCCATATGGTCTAACGGGCATCATACGCGGCGCAGCAGTCTGTTTCTATGGTTTCATTGGATTTGATTGTATTGCCACTGCCGGTGAAGAGGCTAAAAATCCCAAAAAATCCATTCCGTTTGCTGTGGTCACATCGCTCGCAACGATCTTTCTAGCTTACTTCGGAGTCTCGACAGTGCTTACCATGATGCTGCCTTATTTCGAGCAGGACGAACAGGCGCCGCTACCGCATGTCTTCAGCCGTTATGGCTGGTGGGTTGCTGAGTATTTGGTTACCATTGGCGCGCTGTGCGGGCTCTGTGCCAGTATGATGGGTGCCATGTTTCCACTGCCACGTATCGTCTTCGCCATGGCTTCGGATGGACTGCTGTTCAAATGCATGGGCGAGATCAATCAACGTTTCAAAACACCCTTCAAAGGCACATTACTCACGGGCGTGCTGACTGGTCTTCTCGCCGCCATCTTTAAACTCAGCCAGCTGGTGAGCATAATGTCAATTGGTACGCTGCTGGCCTACTCGATGGTGGCAAGTTGCGTCCTCATTCTGCGATATGACGGTGATGATCGCAGGGATGGTCGCTCCATAGGAAATGGACGCCCTCTGGTTGACTATGGGCAAAGAAATTGTATGCTTTGGCGGCAATTGTTCAACACCAACAACACTTCACTGGCGAACAAGAGGAGCAGCAGGCTAGTGACATGCATGATAACGCTTTACTGTGAGTTAACACCAAACAAAGTGCAAATATCGCTTATACCAAAACGCGCTCATTTGCATGTTTTCTCTTTTCAGTTTGTTGGTGCTTTGTGTTCTCGCATTTCTTGCAGAAGGTGGAAATCGAACCGGCTAGCATAACGCCGTTCTATATCGTCCTACTAGCTGTTACTGGATTGCCTCTGCCACTCATACTCTTAATTATTTCTCGTCAACCGCATTCCAGCACCCAGCTGGCATTCAAAGTACCTCTGGTGCCTTGGCTGCCGGGCCTGTCAATCTTCATCAACGTCTATCTGATGGTGCGCCTGGATGTAATGACCTGGGTACGCTTCGGCATATGGATTGCCATTGGCTTGATGATTTACTTCAGCTACAGTATTCGCCACAGCCGCCAACGCAAGCGGGAAACGCGCCTAGTATTACCCGAAACGGCGGAGAGCAGTGAATCAGGATTACCTCTGACTAATGACTACACCGAGGTGCCGCTTATCATCATGAAGAATACAAGTTAAGGACTAAGGAAAAACGGATTGAAAAGTTTACTTGGAATCGAAGTATTCTCGTAGCATACTATATAATATTTTAGGTACTAAATACAAGGTGCGACTTATACAAACATGCCATAAGATGAGCTCGAAGTACCCGAATACAGTTGCTCTTGTATTTAAAATACTAACAATAAGTTCAACTACCATAACTTTTAAGATGCACTCTCTTACCGGATGAATACATCCTCCCTCAGAAAACATAAAATTATTGGTAAAATTTCCAAAGCACTACGTACTCTACACTTCATAGGTATTAAGTTGTAAGCATACTAAAAAGTATCAAAGTGAAGGCCTTCTGACTTACTCATTAAAAATTAGACGTAGTTCGAATGTCTACCCACCTGCCACCTTTTTATCTGCACGCCCATCTTTTGTACAAACTTTCGACAGTTTTTTGACTACTTAAGAGGGATTTGAATATTTATTAACATTCACACAAAAATACTATATATAAGTACTTAGTTAGTTATATATATTGCTTTGGTTTATAGTTACTATACTCATGTAGATAGAGTCTCGGAATTTCGTAATGAACTGGTACTAATTTTTAAATTTTTTTATATTATATGCCGTTATGTATTTATACATTATTTAAGTAAATATAAAGTATTTATTGATTCAAGCGTCTTAGAAGACCTTAGAAGACTTATAAATGTTGTAAATTATTAAAATGACGAACTCATTCGAATTCTCTATGCTTTTTAAAGGCCCAAAAGTAATGTTTAATTTAAATAATAAAAAGCAATTAGTTTTAAAACTTATCATAATTGCAGTTTTAGTAAGTATAGACACAGCATACAGCATCGTTCCTGTAACAAAATACTTCAAAGTTGGAATTTTTCCATTGCATATAAAATGATATTCATAAAAAATTACCTAAAAAGACCAATAGCCCATTTCCACCAACAGCTTAATTGCAGTTAAGAGCTCAGATAAGGTTCATGAATATTAAAATGGGGTGATCCGCAAGGTTAATTTCTTACTTTTTGCACTTTTACCTTCATTTGCTTGTACTTATTACATCCCCTTCGAGTTGTAATCTCCTTTTTCCAATAGGCATAAGCTGCAATTTACGCTTGGTGGAAATGAACTACGATCTATCGTACTATCTTGAAATGAGATATAGAAAAGCAGTAGCACGAAGCCATTGCTATCACTCTCAATCATTTCAAACATTAAATACCCCGTAGCGAATGTCATGCATTAGTCACTTAAAATTCTTGTACGGAAAAGCTACGTCTTAAATGACTTTAGGCTCCGTTTGTATGGAAGTCGTTCATGACTTTTTCATAGAAATGGTGATTTCGTCGTTGATGCCATCTGCATGAGTTAGTGCGGGTGATAAACCCATGTAGCATAGTTAAATACTGTGCACATACCTACAATTAAAATCGGGAAAACTGTTACAATTTCGGCATGTGTCTGGAAAAAAACTCTAAAATACACACCAATTGTGGTTTCCAAGACATGCATCCTTCAACTCGCGGGAAAAAATCCCCGATTTTCAGGGAATTTCGATTTAACAGGCAATCGTGGAATGGGCACTTTTTTCGGGGAACTGGGTATGTTATTTTTATATCTTAATGTAACCAAATTAGACGGATATGTTAATTTTTAACCATTTGACCCTTTTTGGAGCGAAATTTTTTCTATTTGAATCGTATAATCTCCAAAACAAGATTATTCCCAAATATAGGCTAGATATCAGATGAAAGCTAAGCTTTTGGGCTAGTCTTGTGGAAACTAAGAATAAAATCGACTGACCAGTTTTTGAGAAAATGCCCGAAATCTCTATTTTCAGCAGCCCGATTTTTAGTTTTCAGGCGATAACGTTATGACATATTTATATTTTATAAACGCAAAAGACAGCGTTAGATAGCTTGTTTTAAGACCCTTCTACTGATATCCACTTCAATGGTATGGATTGAGTATTACGACCTCAGTGGTAGTTTAGAAAATCGTCTTTTTTTCGAATTTCCGGCAGCAGCCACGCCCACAAAGTCATAGGAATGAAAACATCCTGGAACAAAACCTTCTTAGTTTTTTATGTACTTTAATTCCTGAGAGTTTGAAAAAAATTAAGTGATGGTACGTACAGACGCCACATACATACATAAGCATCTCGTAGTGGACACACGAACCAAAACACATTTACCTCTATATCTTTCCAACTAATAGCCGGACCTTAATATATAAGGTATCGTTTGAAAGGTATTGATTGGCCTATAACACAATGTGTTGGGGGTGCCCACATAGCCCCTTAAACCGGCAAAAGCAAAAAAAATGTTTTTTGTTTCGCAACAGTTTAGCCTAATTTTTAGGAATCCGGTTAATCGTTTATGAAACTTGAGTTCATTTTCTGGACACACTCCGCAAGACCTTTCCAGCGATATCCAACGAACATGTCGATTGGACGTTTGGATAAAAACTTCCAAATCTCGTGTATATATAAGCGAGTCATTTCAGCATGCCACTGTGGCTGCTTTCGTCAATCGCGCGCACTGTCGTACGCTGTGATACCCGAGCGCACTTGTGCACAAATGTATTATAGCTTTGTTCACATAACGGTTGTTTGTAACAGGCAAAACGAATCGAGATAGATATAGACAAATGTATACATAAATGCTCAGAATGAAAAAAGAAATCGATAAAGCGGTGCCTGAACTTTGTGCGTGCACTTCTTTCGGCCGTAGGATGGATGGTATTGAAAATGGGCAAAATCGGAAAATAACCACGCCTACCTCCCATATAACGGTAATTTTCAAAAAATAAGAATATTATAAATTTTTGGAAAATGGGCGTAGCTACGCCCACTTGTGGTTACATGTGTATATCTTGGTAACCCCTGCACCAATTCCCACGAAACAATACCAATAACCGCGCCCACATCCCATATAACGGCAATTTGGAGAAATACGAAATCTTCGATAAATCGTAAATATTTTAGCTAATTTATATACATATGTATGTATCTCGATAACCGTTCTACCAATTTTTGCCAAACTCGGTAGGGTTATTGTGCTTGCCACATGAAAGCAAAATGTTAAAAATTATTGAAATCGGACTAAAATTTCGGCCGCTTACTGCACCAGCTGCATGGAGGATGATGAGGTGAAATCATCTCAACATCTGCTGCTCTGGTGTCCCGGCTTTGCGAACGTAATGTTTAAGCACCTCGGGTCCCACTTTTGGACATCAGTCGACTGAAGAGCTTCGTTGTGAGCACGGAGCGTTTCTCCGGCAAAAAGCCATAGGGGTCGTCTTTCTCCCATAGCCTCCTCCCTCTTTCCCCTACCCTACCTGCATCCCTTTTTTCCCTCCCCCTCTGAGGGCATTACAACGGACAGCTTAGTCGAGTCCAAGTGTGCCTCCACATGCGGAGGCAGCCCGCTTACCTAACCCCAACCTAGTGTTTTATAAAAGCTAAAATTTGTTTCCCCTTTTTTTTTTTAATTTTCATGTTGCAGATATAGCAACTTTTTGGGCACATTTAGTTCGCCAAATCAGATAATGTCGTTCTATACTCTTTCGCACTTGGGTAGTGACTTTTCTACGCAAATAGGATTTCTAGTTATAATTAGACTGCACATTAATCACCGACAAAAATACTCTATCATCTCGTTGATGGCCATATAGGCACCTAAAACAATAGACGGCAATTGAACCTTTGTCTGATAAGCAGTTGTCTATTTATTGAATTAAAAGCAAAACATGCGATAGCACACATGATAACAAACTCTTTTTTAAGCACAGCAAAATAACTTAATGCTTAGTTAAATAAACGTATATGGGGATTTCAGCCAACTCGGAATATTAATAGAATTAAGTGTGAATGTAAAGGTGAAAGGAACGAAAATGGGGCAGTAGTAGGACTTAATATAAATGGAAGAAGCTGGGTATTAACTCTCGGGAAGATTGTGTTTGGAATTTACTGCCGATGTTAGGAAAATGTAAAGTAAACTCCGCGCAAAATTATAATTACTTGGCGTTATTTATTTCATGCCAAATACAATTAAGATTTAAAGTAGTTTCTGGCTATGAGGCTGCCCGTTCGGGAGATATGAAAGATCAAAGAAATTATTATTTTAATATAAAATTCGCGATTTTTTGCAAAGTAAGAGGATTATTGCAAAATAAAGTATAGGGAAACAAATATTATCTACCTGGACCTCTACCAAAGTACGTAACTAGCTTGGTTATCCGAAAGAAACTTTTTTTAAATGGCCCACTTGACGTAATTTGATGTAATTTGAATTTAAAATTTGTATCAAGTTTGGGTAAATTAGCGCGTTTAAATTTCAAAATATTTAACGCTGAAAACAAACAATCAGTTTTACCTTTGAATTTCTTCACACACATTGCTTGTCAAAAATTTTCAAAATTGAAAGCCATTACAATTTTCTAATTTTAATTCCATTGTAGATTAACATTTTAGCATGCAGAAGCTTAGTATTCCGAAGATATGAACAAAAATTTAAAAAGGCAACCTTCATGTATGACAAAACGAAATGTTTCCGAAATTGTTTTGCAAGACTTCGGCGAAATTTTTTTCGGTACGGTCTACATATGTACATATGTACTACATACTTAAATAGCGAGCTAGAATTTATTTATCTGTAGCACTTTTTACGTGCAAACCAACAACAGGTAAATGATGCGGTATTTTCGTCGCATCTGATAAGAGCCTCCGCGTAGTCCCGCAGCTCCGCGCTTGCCGTAGATACGCGTATCTTATCGCCTTTGGCAAAGGGGCAACTGAGCGCAGCGCTGGATAGAGCAGAGAAGCAATGAAGCGTCTACATAACCAAGGTACACACGATTATTAACAGTTGACTTTGGTGAACACAGATGTCACTGCGCCGAGAAATTTTATTGTATCTTTTTTTTTGTAAATTCAGGAAATCATTCAGTGGAACTGTGGCTATGATAAGAAAATATCAAAATTTGCACCAACAACAAACAAACAAAGATGCAAAAAAAATATTAAACCAAAGATCTGCGAAAGGTAAACAGATTACGAGAATCATTGAGAACAATTGAAATCGCAGCCACCACCAGCGTTGCCGTTTGGCTACAATGGTAGCAAAAGTGGTACATTAAAAATGAAAAGCTACAATGCTACATATACTTAAATATTGCGCAATATTCAGAGCTACCATTGTGATTTTTTAATTTTTTTTTTGTTTGAGATGGCATATTTTTGAAACTATTTTTTTACGAAGTTTCCGCGACTTTGTCAGCGACTTGCAGCTTATATGGGGACGTCCCACAGAATTTTTGAGCATTTTTTTTATTTTTTCAAAATTTTGATCCTTGTATGTTTTTTGATATATATTAAATAATATGATAATTGAAATTAAACAATAAGAACCTAAATTACCTAAACTACTCAATATATTCCGAAATTTTAATAATTTTGAAATGCGCAGTTTTTGAAAAAAAAAATAAAACCTAAGGGCATTTTCTAATTATAATTATAAGCATTAAACAATTGGCTACGTTTCAGTTAGATTTGCTACATTTTTTGCTGCAAAAAAAATTTTGTGAATGGCAACACTGGCTACCACTGTTGTCAACCTCCCTTAGCCAGCTGTTTATTACAACACCAAAGCCGCCACAATAACAATACACGCGCACAAGTGCAAACGCAAACACAAGTGCGCGCCCGCACGTAATTGGAGCGGGCGCCGCGCTCAGCCACCACTGCAGCGCGCCCCATTTGATTACATACAGGTGCC